AAACTAGAAAAGGAAGTATGAGACATTGTGAGTTTTAGCCAAGAAATTGGCTACTTTTCTTTGGGGACTTTTTACTCTGCCTAGCAAATTCCTACCTCCTATTCTTATCACATCATCCTCTGAAGAGGTTACCCAACTTGCCGATAGGGAATCAGGACGCAGACTGCTCTGGATTCTTCCATGCTGAACAGGGACGCAGGGTGAGGCAATTGGAGTACTCCTTCAGTGGGTCTATCTAAAAGATTCCCAAATTGCATAACTCTTATCTCTAGGGGGAAAAGAAAGTCCTTGAATCATGAATAGGAGATGTGAAGGAGAAGTAAAGGCAAGAGTTACAAGTTCTAGACAGGGAACTAGAAAAAAGTCAGAATAGGGCAATTTTCAAATGTTCATATGAGAGTCCATTGGAATTTCTTGACAAGGGCTTCTAAAAGCATCCCTCAATTGGGTTCCTCCTCGCTGTGTAGACCAGGTTGGCCTTGAACTCACAGAGATCTGTCTGCCTCTGCCTCCCGAGGGCTGGGATTAAAGGCATGTGCCACTACACCTGGCTCTCTACAAATAACTTTTTATATGGACTTAAGCCTAATGTCCGGGAAGTGTAATCCCTTGAACTCTTAAAATACACTGATGACTTTACTCTTTGGTTATACTTTCCTTTTGGGTGTTTAAGACCATACAGTTGGCCCAAATAAATCAATTTATTTTTACACTTAAGGTCGTTTGAGGATCTGTTCCTCAGGGGTCGCACGGGCTTGGGAGGAGCCCCTGGCTCCTTTCTTTTACCAGTTCCATCTATGGGAAGATAAGTCAAAGGTCCTGATCAATCATGTCTGGCTTCACTTGGAAGCATGAATGAGATCTTTCCTCTGGGTTGACCCTCCTCTTTGTAGTCTGGACACTGGTTCAAGACCATCTCATGGGGTCTCCCTGGACTCCCTGAACAAGAGGACAGCTGGCTCACCACAGTCACTGGACATTTTGAGAGACGCTCATAGTCCCCTGGAACTTAATCAATGTTGGAGTGCAA